GGGGGGATTTAAAGAGAGCGTACTGTTGTTAGATATCCCCCTGGGATAATAATATATGAAACACAATTAGCGGTAGAGCCAACAGCACACAGGATTATGACGTGTCCTACTCGCACCAACACACCAACAGCATATTGCTTACTTGGCTACATCTTGCTCCATAGCTGTCTCACGTCATCAGGCTATTAACAGGCCTCTATGCTGACGCAATCTGAGATGCGATGTGGACAGTGGACAGCGGACAGCCTGAGAAATGGACTGGGTCTCGACAGTTGACGGAGCCTCGGGGTGAAACGACCCTACTGTCTCCCTCCGCACTCCCTCTAGTTCGCACCCATTTCTCAAGTCAATATGCACTCTCACATTATGCTTTAAAGGGCTTCGCACCTCTTTGTATGCTATACACAATATTATTATTATGATTTGGGGCCTACAGTCTCAAATATTATTTGGGCTCAGGTGATCTTGAGCCTTTTTATTCAATAGAAGTTCCCTTGGTGAAGGTCATAAAATCGATTAGAGTTTGGTCTTTATTCCGAAATACTATTTTAAACATAAGTTAATGGCTGTTTTTACAATTGTGGGTGGTTGGCGGCGTGCTCTGGTGTGGTTTGCTCCTTCTTTTATTTCAAATATCTATCGTCTGTATCTCTCCGTCTTCTTTTTAGTGTATGTTACTCTCTTGTAACACCTCTGACCTTCAGAACTTATATTATGACCTTATTGCGTTGTTCGTGATGTTCAACTCTTACTAAAACTAAAAGATTTTACCCTTTACATTGTTGCTACATGTACCTATATATTCCATCCGTTCAGACTTGAAAAGTAAAAACAAACCAAGCTTTAAATATTGCTAACTTAAAAAACCCAACTATTATAACTTGAACCCCACGCAAAAAGTCTTTTAAAAGGTGTAAGATTATATTTGAATAGCCCCATGTGGCTGGCTGACTGCACAGCTTGGAAGCCAACCCGTTCGCTGAGAAAACGAACGAGGACTAATACTAGTGTGAAAGGCGGCGATAGAGATGCGCTAATTAACAGATTATGAATTGCATGATGCTCTCAGATAACCTAACTTAATTAGTAGACCTATAGCTATGGAAAAGAACAACAAACGGAATAGAAAAAGGGGCAGGTGCATCTAGATATCTACGTCACAGCTCACTAGTGACATATTTTTAGTGGCAAAACTTTTTTCCACAGAAATTACATTGTATTGTGGATACTTTTGTGCAATAAAAGTTTTCAAAACATACTTTCATGTAGGCCTAGATCTAAGATAATGTCGCAATGAGGAGGGGGAAAATGACGGACTTGCTTTTAAAAGCGATGTTGTCACAGCTGTAAACCTTTTAAATCTGTAGAAACCACCCACTTTGATTTTTAAGAAGTAGTAATTCAGGAATTTTCTAGAGTAGGCTTACACAGGTGTTTACAAAATTGATACAAGTCATGGTGCAAAAGTTGGAGAATCCATATAAATATATTATTATATACAATGTATTCGATGGTTGAGGATACATTTTTTATTTGACAATTTGTGCATGCAGCCCAAAATGTTTGATGCTTTATTGCGCAAAACTTAAGAGACAATAAAAGAACCCTTAACGTGCACTATCCAATTATTAATTTTCAATAGAGGTCTACAAGTTCATCGCCAGAGCTTAATCGGTCGATAAGTGTGTCTAGCACTCTACACCGTCAACTGTTGCTAGGCTAGGATAATACCATAGTAAGTCCTCTTCCTTCACCCAGGCAATATAGCATGTTCAGTGGTGGTAATCTGACCCAAAAAATGCTGGCCTATTATAGGTGATCCAAACAACGACGACGTTACGCTAAGCTTATGCCAAGATAGCGAGTTTCGTTGCCTAGGCTTAGGCCACGACATTAATATTAATGAGACGGCACAGTCTCAACGCGCACCAGCCAAACAACGCGTCCACAGCACAACGATCGCGTCGCGTTGTTGAGAATCTTTGCAGCACAGGCAGTCTAAAAATAACGCATTCTCAAACCACTTCACGATTGGCGCGATAGGCCTAGCACCTAGCACACAATGCAGTGCGTGCCTAATACAAGATCCTCGCTGACACCTTAACATATTAACAGCCACAATTGTGCCTATAGCGCGGTAAATCATCTACTATGTCATGACAAAGCTGCCAGTCAGTGGTAGTCTGACCTAAATCGCTCAAGGCATCCAAAAATAAATTTTTAGCTTTAGTTCCGGTATCCTCGGGTAACCCCAAGCGATGACGACACGCGTAGCAAGTTTGCTGGTTGCCCTACATCAATATTAATAAGACAGCACATCTCAATGTGTTCTTGTCGAAACAAAGCTCAATGTAGGCACTCTAAAAATAAACGCAATCTCAGACTGTACACTGTACTCTATATTATTATTATTTTACATAACAATATAGGCCTATATTATAGACCTATACAATGTGAGCCGCGGAGCAATCCAGCGGAATGCTCAAGTGAATTGCGATTGGTTCACTGTCTTGCCACTAGCCTATTTTTAGATTTAGGTCTTGCCCCTGCTGTTAGGCTACCATGAACTTGAGCGAGGAGAACGACAGTGAACAGTGAACGTCGAGCTAGTTAGGTCACCGTGTAGCGTCTGTTGAGTTGTGCCTTTGTTGAATGGTGTGTTGTTAGTGTTGTTAGTGGAGTGGTGAAAGTGTAGTATTATTACTTGAGTGTTCAGTTCCAATGCAAGATGAACGGAATCGATTTTTAGCCAACAAATTAGATTACTATATGTAGATCTAGATCTAGTTTTAGGAATCGAAGCGACAAATAAGAAGAATGAAAGTAAAAGCAATAGATCTAGATCTAGATCTAGATCTAGCCCAGATCTAGGCTCTCACCAACCCAGATTAAAATTAGGCCAACACACCGTCCCATTCAGTGGTATTTACTACGCCCTTGTTGCCTGTCTTCAATCGGTGATAGTTTCATATTGTGCTCGCCCACTTTTTAGACCCACAAGCCGTTGGCTACTGTGTTAGATCTGGAACAATCTGTCAGAGTGCTCACAGCGATGTTCGATCGGTTCATTGTCTTGCCCCACCTCTGTGATCCTGAACTTGAGCGAGATCAACGTGACGTAGGCCTAACTAGGCCTAGCCTATGTCAGTGAGTTAGTAGAGCCTGACTTGGACTTGAAACGGTGTTATGGTGAAATTGTTATTACTTGAGTGTGTGTAGGGCCTAATTCCACGCCAGGATGAATGAAGTTGATTTTTTGCTTGTGAATGATTTCAGTTCTCTGAAACTAAGGGACCAGATGAGAGTGAAAGAATTAGGGCCTCACCAACCCAAAGATATCAAAATAGTCCAACCAACAAAAGTGTGCAATCGTGTTTTCAATCCGAATCTTTTCGAAACAGTGGAATGGCTTACAGTCAGTGTTAGCAAACACTCACTGCACTGTTTCTATTGTCTGCTTTTTGGAACTGATGACGCCAAGTGGTCTAAGAATGGTTTTAAGGATCTTGTCCATGTGAAACAAAGCATTGGGACACACGGGTCATCAAAAGCTCACGTCAACAATGCTGTGAAGTATCACACGTTCGGACTAGATCTTGATCTAGATCGAGAAGACACAGCAGCGCAGTTCAACTTAGGCCATCGCATCACAACGATGTCTTACCACAACGAACGAGTGAGAAAGAACAGGCACGTATTGTGTAATGTTATCGAGTGTATTTTGTTTTGTGGAACTCACGGACTCGACCTTTACGGTCATGAAGAAGGTGATTTGTCGGGGAACAGAGGTATCTTTCTTGATTTACTGCACCGAGACGCTAACACGGACAGGATACTGTCTGATCATTTGCAAAGCGCTACTGTTGCAACATATACTTCCAAAATAATACAGAACGAACTGCTGGACTGTATTTTCAAAATCTACCACGAAGAACTGAATAAAGACATACACTCTGCTAAGTTTCTCTCTGTTCAGGTCGACGAAGCAACTGATGTAGGTCATTTTTCACAGTTTGCGATCATTCTGAGGTATATTAAGGACGGAAAACCGGTAGAGCGGTTTCTAAAGTTTTTTGAAGCCGAAGACAGAACTCAATCAGGGCTCGTTTCAACCCTACGAGAAGCTTTAGAACCATTCAGCGTCGAGGAGAAGCTGATCGCGCAAACCTACGACGGGGCGGCTGTGATGAGTGGGAGAGTCTCTGGTGTACAGGCTCAGATGCGCCAATTTTTCCCCAATGCTGTCTTAGTTCATTGTCATGCGCATCCGCTGACTTTTGTTTTGAAGCAGGCTTGTTCTGGCATATCAGACTGCAGGATATTTTTCGCGAACGCGGCTGGCTTTTCGGCATTTTTTGCCCACTCTACAGAACGTATGGACGTTCTCAGACGCTTTTGTGACCGGAATATTTCACGGCTGTCTGAAACGAGGAGGAATTATCAGTCTCTGCCTATTAAAACAGTCTTCACTTGCAAAGGAGAGATCCAGCTCTGTCTTCAAGAAATTCTGTCTGAGCACTGGGACGATGATACCACCCGCGAGGCGTGTGGTCTCTTGAACGTATTAAAGAGCGACACATTTCTCTTCTTTTTGGACTTTTTTAACAAAATGTTCTCGCATGTTGACGTTCTGCAAGTGATCCTCCAACACGGAAGTACAACGCCCTTAGAAGCACAACAAGCTTTAGATGCATTTAAAACAGCCGTCGAGGAAATAGGAAATAGTATAAGTGTTCCTTCAACGAGTCAGACCACAGAGGAACAAGCTACCAAGAGACGCAGACATGACAACACCAGAGAAATTGCTGCAAAGGAGGCCTGTGACATAATAGTTCATCAAATTGTTGACCGTTTCTCAGAGCAAAATAAAATCAGTACACTATCAATCGTCGACCCCTCCAGATTCCAGGACTATCAAACGTGGTTTCCCTCAGCTCTTTGGGATAGTATTAGTAATACAGAAAGCTACTCCGTCTTGCCTAAAATGAAGTTACAAACAGAATTAGAAATTTTATACAGCAATGAAACATTTAAGTCTGCTCAGTGTGGCACAATGCAGGGCCTTTATTCAACTCTGAGGGACTACAAACTCGACACAACATTTACAAGAGTATGCAGAATCCTAGAAATCGCACTGACGACACCAATAGCGTCTGTCGAAACTGAACAAAGTTCCTCTACACTGAACCGAATAAAGGCGTTCTCCCGTTCTAAAATAGGGCGAGAGAGACTAGATGTCCTCGCCTTTATGTCTGTTCACAAGGACGTCATTGACAACATCCCCAACTTCGTCAACAGAATAATGGACGCCTTTGCTGAAACAGAGGAACGAAGGGCAGACTTCTTGTTCGAGTAGATTTTCCCCAAACAGGTAAGATGAAGAATAGATCCACATTGATTATGATCTCTTTTACCATGCCCATGACTATCTTCAACCTGTAAAAGCTAATTATGCACGCTCACTTTTTAAACCAACAAGCCTCCCGTGGTTGCCATCTTTTAAAATCCTTTTAATATTGACCCTTCAGTGTGTTAGCCCCCTACTCTAACGTATCAAATAAGCCCCCCCTCCCGACGCCACCCGCTTATTAATTTTCAGTTTTTTTGCGCTCCCGCCCCCCCCCCCCCGGCTCCTTACCCCCCCCCCCTTTTTTCCAGCTTGCCACTACCGACTGTCAAGTGAAACATTTTATATATAGAATCTAGATTTCTTTTTTTGTTGTTGTTGTAAATGACAAATTACCCTCAGTATTAATAGGCCTTCCGGTACCTGGTTAGCTACCTCAATTTTCTGTGGATAATTTTTAAAACGTTTATACATGATTGGTTTGTATTTTTTAAAATAAAACTGATAACAAATTCCTAAATGGGAAAAGTTGTCCCAGTATTTACTAACATCACAAAAATTTCATGATCTGTTATTTTCTTTATTCACTGAAGGAGAAAGAAAACATTTGTTCCTTTTAGTACAGCGGTATGAGGATAAATGTGCCACCCCCCCCCCCCTTTTTTAACCCCCCCCCCCGTTCATTAATATTGGACCACTTTGTCTCCCCCCCCCTCGTTTATTCCTACCCCCTCCCTTTTATTCGATACTTTAGAGTAAGAAGTCGAGAAGGGAGGGAGGGCGAATTTACTTACTTTATTTGGTTTATTTGGTTGGAGAATAGGCATCATTGCAGGCGGCACTATGCCATAGTATAGTTGCTCCTCCCTCCTCTCCAGGATACATGAAAGGATCTGCCTGCTGATCGTGCCAGATAACAGCTGGTTAGATATTCTTCTGGCTTTTCCACGCAGGTTGCTGTCTCTCCCCGTCCCTCTAGAGACACAAGCTTCCTTTAGTCTGTCCATTGTGTGTGAAGTGGTGCCTTAATCCTCTCTGTGGTCGTTGAACCATGCTGTCACTGCTGCCATGACTGTCACTGTTGGTGGATCTAATTGCATTCTGCTGCCAATCTCAGCCTGACCGGCTAGTTTATCAGCACGTTCATTGCCTTGAACTCCTGCATGACCAGGGCTAAAGATCCATACAATCCTTGTGAGTCTGCTGCTTTGTATTGCCTCTCGCCAGTCTGCATACATCATGTGTTTCTTCACTTTTTCGAGGGTACTCGAATCGAGTCGGTGATGAGGATGGCAGACTGATACTCCGTCGTCTTAATCCAGTTAAGGGCTTCTGTGATGGCTTTCATCTCCATGCACGTGCTGGACGTGGTTATACTGGTGGCGCCTGACAGCTCTCTCTTATGACCCAGTTTACACGGGCGCTGAAAGCCCATCCAGATTTGACACCACGATGCACTGATCCATCTGTGAAGATGACTACGTCGCCCTTTTCACTGTTCTTCTCTATCAGCGGCTCTACCTCGGCATTGGCTGCTCCCTCTGGCCACTCACGACCCTTCTCTGCCTAAGTTTGCCACCACTCGAGTGTACTGCCCGCAGGTGTGTCAGTGACGCTGACCCATGCGCTGCCCCTTCGGACGTCTTGCACTTCACAGCATTTAGCCAAAGTCATCGCTGCCTCATTCATCCATTCAGTCCCTCTAAACAGACACGTGCGTACAGTTCTTCCCACTTTGTCATGCTGTGGGTGCTGAGCATCGGCGCTGACTCTCTTTATCCGCTTTCACCTGAGCTGTCTTGTGGCGTTCTACCATGGCTGGGAGGTCCAGGAGATAACGTATAGCCTCGCAGGATGTGTCTCGTGTACACCCGAGAACAGTCCGCATACCTTCGTTCTGAATTCTTTCAAGGCGTTTCAGCTGCGACGTTGACGAGGTGAGGAGACCGAGGCCATAGTCTATCACAGACAGCACAAGAGTCTGGTATAGTGTGGCGAAAATTCCCCGTGGCATTCTTCTACACGCCATGGTTTTCAGTGCAGTCAGACCTTTTCTGGCTCTTGTGATGATCCTGGTTATGGGATCTTTACTTGTCAAAGGTGATACCTAGATACTTCAGTGAGTGCTCACACTTCAGGACCCTGTCGTTGATGGTGACTGTGGGCATTTCTGCTTTCACCGCGTGGTTGTTCATCGAGCACCACAGCACACAGGCCTTGTCGGGGTGGAGTTTGCCGTTTTAGTCTACACACCATTGCCCAGTTTGATCCAGTTCCTGCTGTTGCACCGCGTTAGCTGTTTCTTGCCGGTCCTTACCCTGTCCTTACAAGGACGTCATCCGCAAAGCTCAGCTCACGCCCAGGGCCTTCCAGTTGTCCAGAAGTGATTCGAACTGAGTATATATGTTGAATAACACTGGTGAGAGTGATGATTCCTGTGGCAACCCCTGTGTTTGTTTGAGTAGAGTTTTACGGCGCTCGCAACTGCATTAGGTCATATGAGCGCCAAACCCCGGTGTGATGCTTCTGGTGTCAGATGTCCAGTTTCCCTGCCGCTTTGCAACTCTCCTCTTCAGCAATGCTTCACCTACCCGTATCACGAGCCGGGGGCTAATCTTCAGGTTGATCATTGTTCTCGAAATAACATCGTACTCAAACTTCTTGTTGTAGGCATCCTCGAGGTCAAGCGCTGCTATCAGAATCTCCTCGCCTCTTTCAAAACCCATCATAAATATCTGATGCAAGGGCGAATTTAGGCCTTTGGTCACGGGATCATAACCCAGGAAGGGGGGTGTGGGTGGGAGGGGGTGTTAGGACGGGGCGGGAAGAAATTTTTAAAAGGAGGC